AGCACGGCAAGCCGTGTCATCGCTGGCTACAGCTTGTCCCTAGCTTGGCCTTGCCGGCGCGCCTCGTGGTCACTGCCTGCAGCACTCTCATCTCGTCCTTCGTGCTGCACCCCACCTCCTCCTTCTCCCATGAAATTAACTATAGCCAAATTGAAAATTCAGGCAACGTACATATGTTTAACCTTCAGTACTAGGCCCCTACAAGTTAACAATTTGTTCGCTCTTTAAACCTCATTGGGGTGCCATTGTCTTTTGTTCCATATGGCTAAGTCGCAGTGGTGTGTGGTTTTTTACATGTAAAAACTGAACTCTCGTTTACATATGTTTTTCTCTTATAACGGTTTGGCAGCGATCATGGTTTTTTGCAAAAAGCTAGGACCACAAGGTCACATCACGATGTGCCAAGATGTTGGAATGGCTAGTGATTAACCTTTTTCTTCACGAATTTGCCATTCCTTAGATAACTGAAATCTTTTTTTCATGTCGACTGTTTTGCCTAGTGCCCGGGGCTAAGACAAGGACACCGTGGTGGCCAAGAGTAGGCGGTTCACCCTCGGTTGGTAGATGGTTCTACAGAAGGAAGAACATAAATGGTGAAAGGAGGATAGCAGTTGAATTTACATGGAATGGCTCAGACATAATGGATTGAAAGATGAAACCGCCTCCCTTTGTTTCACTCAGTCCGGCCTATTATTCGTTTTAAACTGAGGCTACGTAAATAAACACTAGAGTAAATTTCAGTTTTTACCACCTACTTTGATATTTTTGACACACATTACCCCCTTTAAAAGCATTTCATCCGGATTATCCCGTTCAGCCAAAGTTTCGCCCTTTTTCATCCATTTTAAAGTTTTTTAGGTTACGCAATTTATTTATTTATTTTGGAAAAGGAGGACATACCCCCGGCCCCTGCGGATAGTTCTTCTAGCAGTTATTTTGCTGTAAAAAGCGTCCTAAAGCTACATGTCCACGTGCAGCACCCGGAAGCAAATCTAATGAAGAAGACTGAGGTGGAGTAAATCTCAGCATAAGATGGAGCTGCGACACGCACGCAAGTATACCGAGATTCCAAACGTTCGGTATTTATCAATTCCACATATATAACTCCAAAGTCCAAACTACTATTGTTCGCAGCGGTCGGGGACGAAGCCAACCATGTCCGCATGAACGTCGTACACCACCTCCGTCGTCTCCTGCGCCAAGGTGCCGATGACCGCCGCGACCCCGGCCGGGTAGACAGCCCATGCCGGCGCGGCAAACGCGAGGCACCCTGCCGAGAAGACGTAGTCGCGGTCCTCGAAGTACATCATCTGCCGGATGCCGAGCTCCAGGCTCGCGCCGCTATCGAACGTGAGCGTCACGGGCGGCACGTCGATCTTCCTCAGGCCGGTGAAGTTGTAGCACGTGTCGAGGAAACCCATCGGCGGCGCCACCGGATACTGCGCCATCTGCTCTTTGAACTGGCCGCGGAGGGCCGCGTAGGTCTCCGGCATCAGGTAGGTGAAGGTGGTGCGCAGCGCCATGAGCGCGTCGCCGGCGGGGACCGGGATGACCGGCCTACCGGTGCCTAGGCTTAACCCGGCGAGCCGGACGAAGTATGAGTTGGGGAGGGCCGCGTTGCTCCGTAGCGGGGTGTAGCTCACCTTGCGTCCTGGGCCTGGCAGGGGTGCGCCGATGGAGAGGAAGCCCCGGTCGGCCCTAAAAGTCGGCAGGCAGTAGGAGAAGGCCGCCGTGTCCGGAGACGAAGGGGCTCGGGACGGCAGTGAGTGGCTGTCCCGGCCGAGATCGAGAAGGCCGGATGAGCGGCCAGCCGTTCTGCCGCCCATCTCCATGCAGTTGGCCCTGAAGTTATCCACGGTGGTCGGCGTGGATCGAGAGAACGTGAGCGTGTCTGTCACGACGATGACACTCGATATCACGGCGCCGTTCTTGGCCACGGTGGTGCTGGCGCAGCCCCGTCCGGAGCAAGCTTCCAGCGGGCAGTCCGGCGAGCCGCACGGGACATGGGCGACGGAGGAGGACCGGGACGGGTCGAAGGCGCCTGAGGTTCTGCGCCGGAGTGCCATACCCGACGACGACGTGGTACTCGGACTCGGACGTGCCCGGGAGAGTGACGAGGGGACTGCGGGGTCTGCGAGTGACGGGGAGGGAGTTGGGTGGCGGTGCGTGCTGGGCTTTGTAGGCCGCGTAGCGGGCCTGGGTGGAAATACCGGCGTCGAACTCGAACGTGAGCGTGACGGGAGCCAGGAGAAGAAGAAGAATAAGAAGAAGCAGGCGCAGCAAGTGCACGGAGGAAATCATGGCTGGAGACACAATTGCTTGTGTGTAAGCTGCTGCCCATATATATACATATATAGGACCCGCGAGCTCTTAATTTTCATTATATTGTAGAGTGCGGTGGTGAACTGATGGTGATTGCTTGTCTCGTCCCTCGTCTCGTGCATATGGAAAAGATTTTTTTTGAACAAGATATGGAGAAGATGATGATCGGGATTAACGCCAGAGCTTTGCTGGTAAAGAGGAAATAGAGGCACTTGGCAAATGGCAACTCTCCAGTCCAAAAAGAAATATCAACACCATGGTGTCGTCGTCATTCTTGGAGTTGTCGATTGTTCATGTCGCCATCCCGGTGGTGGCAACGGTGATCTGTCCATGGAGAACCGACGATGGATGCCCAAAGGAGAAGGTTGGTGTTTTTAAGCATCACACGAAGCTTCCCTTCAATTTAGTCATATATGCATTACATCAGATAGGTGGTGGATGATGTTCATTGTTGCTGATGTAGATGTAGTTCATTTCAATGGGTGTTTCGGAGCTCGCCTTTTCTATAATCATATACTCCCTACATCTCAAAATAAGTGTCTCAAGTAAAGTTGAGATATTTATTTTAAGATGGAGGAAGTATCATTTTATGTGTGTGCACTAATGTTGATTGTGATCCTAATCATCCAGAAGCGGGGTGTATACTCATGATATTTGTATTCCCTTAATGCGGCAATATGAGCCAATAAACCACCCTTTATCAGAAAATAATTGAAAACAACCACGTGAGATAGGTGATCAAGTAATAAAAACTAGCCAAGTTTAGTACTGTAATGGTTGACGTGGCGCAAAAGGATGCGACAATGGATGCCGAGAAGGCTGGTGTTTTTAGATATAACATGGTGCTAAGCTTTATTTATACACATGGAATGGAATACATAAACTAAGGGATCACATGATAACAATAACAAAGATCACAGGGTTAGGAAGG